GGGTGCCCTGGGATGGGCGAAGGGCCGGGAGGCGGGTGGGAGCCCCCCACCTGGCTGCTGACCCACTGCGGGCTGTGGGTCTAGGTGGCCCTCCTGGCTATGGCCCTGGACAGTCCTAGGTGGCCATAGGTGGTCCTAGACAGTCCTATGTGGCCATAGATGGTCCTTGGTGGCCATAGATCATCCTGGACAATCCTAGGTGGCCGTAGATGGTCTTAGGTGGCCATAGATGGTCCTAGATAGTCCTGGGTGGCCACAGATGGTCCTTGGTGGCCATAGGTGGTCCTAGACAGTCCTGGGTGGTCCTAGATAGTCCTCAGTGGCCATAGGTGATCCTGGACAATCCTAGGTAGCCATAGATGGTCCTAGGTGGCCATAGATCATCCTGGACAATCCTAGGTAGCCATAGGTGGTCCTAGGTGGCCATAGATGGTCCTAGATGGCCCTAGACAGTTCTAGGTGGCCGTTGGTGGTCCTAGGTGGCCGTAGATCATTGTAGAGAGTTCTAGGTGGCCACCAATGGCCCTAGACAGTCCTCGGTGGCCATAGATAGTCCTAGATGGCCCTAACCCTAACCCTAACCCTAGATGGCCTAGATCATTGTAGAGAGTTCTAGGTGGCCACCAATGGCCCTAGACAGTCCTCGGTGGCCGTAGATAGTCCTAGATGGCCCTAGACAGCCCTAGAAGACAGCCCAGGCAGTGAGCAGGGTGGGAACACCCACTCCAGGAGGAAAGAGCCTTTGTACCTGCCATGTGCTGAGGACTGAGGTCCCCCTGCCCCTGAGGCAGCCACAGGGAGCGAGTGGAGCTGGGCAACAGCCCCTGTCCCCCCAGATTGTCCCCCAAACCCAGCACCGAGGTGCATTTCAGTTGCAGCTCTTTCTCTGCAGGTGGTGGAGGCTTACAAGCAAGGGCTCAGACCCGCCGTTGGCTATGAGCTCAACCCCTGGCTGCTGCGGCTCGCCAGCTACCGCGCCTGGAAGGCTGGCTACCGCGGGAAGGTCTCCTTCCAGAAGGAAGATCTGTGGAAGGTACCGGCATCCCAAAGGGCTGGCTGGAGCTAGGGTAGGGCCAGGGCTCGGTCTGCGCCTCCAGACCGGCTTCGCTGATGGTTGTCTGCTCCCAGGAGGCGGAAAAACAATCCTGCTTTCCGGGGAAACACCAGCCTGGGCTGCTGGGTGTGCAGGCTGCAGTGCTGCTTTTTGGAGCAGCTCTGAGAAGAGGTCTCGGGTGCTGCTGACACATGGTGGCCTTCAGAGACATGCGGGGAACATGGTTCTGGGGCGATGCTGGAGCCGGGTGCTTTCACACCCAGCTCCTGGTTACACCGGCACATCCCTGTCCCACATGTTGTGGGGCATCTTTGCTTCCTCCAGGGTCTAGAAAGTCACCCACAAAACATTCGGCCACTCGAACAGTTCTCCCCGCTCCCTTCTGCTTCTTTCATTCCCCTTTTCCTTTGTTTTTAAGGTGAATCTTTCCGACTGCTACAACGTGATCGTGTTCCTGGCCCCCAGCGTGGTAAGTCGGTCTGTGGCACCCTGACTCCTTCTGGACAAGCTCGAGGGAGGGTTTTTTTAGAAAAGAGAGAGAATCTGGGACAGCAGCAAGGATAAGAGACCAGAGGTAAAGAAAATCCCAGAGTTGCCCGTGCTGGAATAAAAAGCCAAACGGGAGGATGTTTTCCAGCAATGCCGCCTGTGTCCATGGCAGCTGCTGGATGCGACCCTGTCTGGGACCCTCTTCCACGTGTTTTCCCAAGGGAGTGCTGCTCTGGGAGCCCCCTCCCCATGTCCCTTGCGGTGCTGCTTACCTGTCACTCCTCCCAGTCATCACGGGTGCCCGTTCCAGTCCCCGCTCCACCCAGGGTCTCGGTGGGGCAGAGCAGGGAGCTGTAGAGTGCAGAGCCCTGCAGCAGCCCCGGCCATCACTGCGAGTGAGCGGCTTGGTGCTCAGCACCACTGAAATTTGGTCCCAGTCCCAGCCATACCCAGGGCTGATCCCAGGTTGTGTTTTGGGAGGGTCTTGGGTGGATGCTGCCTGTGTGGGACCCCCGGCCATGCCGAGGAGCTGCCCCCAAGGTCCCTGGTGGCACTGCCACTGTGTGACCGTTTCTAAAGCCGCCTGGCCCTGGCTGTCTCTCTGCAGAAACCTCCTCTTGCTGCCAAGCTCCTGGCAGAGCTCCCTGACGAAGCCCGGGTGGTGGCTGGACGCTTCCCCTTCCCCTCCTGGACCCCCACCTGCACCCTGGGGCAGGGGCTGGAGCAAG